AATTATATTTTACTTTAAAAACTTAAATCTTTATTGTATAGTATCAACTTCTACAAATGAAAGCTAAATACTTTCTAACAGAAAACCAAATTTTAGAATTCTGTGAGTGCATGAGCATGTGTGTACACATATGTACAGGATTAATATCCATACCTTTCCCCAAACAGGTTTAAGCAAGTAAGATAACCTTAACATTCTGAAGTGAAAAAACAGAGATAACCATTGGTTAGTTTATAAATCAGTCATGTTACTAATGTGTTTTGATTATTAATATTTATCTTTGAGTTACCTAGATTGGATTCTTTACATTAAAAACAAGAAAAGCATTTCATTGTAGTGAAAATAATCTCATTCTTTGAATGACAAAGGATTCTTCTACATTTTATTTGTTTGGACATATATTTTCATAAACCTGCAAGTAAAAGATAAGCTTTAATTAAAGCTATTTTCTCTACAGAAATCATTTAAAAAGTTTGTTTATATTATGGATTCTTTTAATATCAGTAAAATTTAAGATGTAAATAATTGATTACAAATGAAACCATCACTAAACCAAGATGCACAGATAATTAATTTCAGGAAAAATAATCTAATTTTACCATATTAGAGAAATAACGTATACTTGTCACAATCTATAATAATAAAAGCATAATATGCTAATTAGACCGGACTACCTTTCGGACAACCTTCTGGACGACCTTCCAGACAAAGCCGCAGAGGTAGGGCTGAGGCAGAGGCTGCTGCTAAGTGGCGGGGGCCGAGCCCCTCGCATGAATTTCATGCATTGGGCCTCTAGTATACATTATAAAATCCCATTGAAGCATGGAGTTTTCAATGTTTTCTATATTAAATGATGTCCAGGCTTTCGTGTGTACATTCAGGAACTACAGTCCTATTGCTGGTTGTACACAGTTCTGTAATGATGCAAAACAAAACAAGTAAAAACCAAAAGAAGCAAGTACCAAAACTAAAACCCTGGTTTTTGTGGGTTTTTTTTTCCAATTAGATCAATGTGTCTAACAATGTATCAAGCTGTAACTTAAAGAGGTATAGAAATGCAGCAGTTAGCTATTTCCTGGCTATACTACTGTGCTATTCAGTCTATTTTATCCACATATTAGTAGACCTAATAAGCCATGATGGTCATAAGAAGTCCACTGTTGCAACAATGCTAGGCGATCTAAGAGAAAGAAGAGCTCCTATTACACTAATTTTTGTGAAACTCTGTAAAGGTAAAGGATTGTGTGCATATCTGTAATGGAATGAGAAAGGAAGGAGGTTAAGAAATTGTCCAAAGGGACTACTTAGATACATTAGAATTATGTTTATTTTTTAAAATGGATTTGTCTGCCAATTTGGTGCACAAAAACAGAGCAGATGGTGGTGAAAATTAACCTAATTTATTTGTGAGAAAGAGCTAGTTTAAAAAATTGATATATAAATCACACACCATAAAATCTGTTCTTTTAAAGTGTACAATTTAGTAGATATTAGTGTCCACAATATTGTGTAACCATTTCTGCTGATTTCAGAACATTTTCATCACCCCAAAGAGAAAACCCTTACTATTATCAGTCACTTCACATTTCCCCTATCTT